TCTCTCAGCACTCGGTCTTACACTTCAAAACAAGAGCGAAGTTTATAGCGATTCTCATTTGAAAGCTATTTTCAAACTAAATAATGTTCACTATATTCTTAAGGTAGTACTAAATAGCAATTGTTATAATCAAGAGTGTTTAAACTTACAGCACTACACTCTGCATCACCATAGCATTTATACCTAGGTGTAAATTTTAAACACTCATGGTTATAATGATTAATATTTACTAATTATGAATACAGTATTATATTATGTTTTTATATTTAATAGACTTTAAGGAAATCTTCTCTTCTAAATATTGTTCACATGTATAACCGAGAGATAGAGTCGGTATACGAGGAACAGATGTTGGACTCGAAGAGAATCTATTCTCAAAGTTGGAGTCGAGTTCTCCACTATGTGTTAGAAATGGATAAACCATTTTCACAACAAAGGACTTTACCTGAAATGAATAATATGGCGAATATGAAGCTGAAAGACAAAGACCGCCAGAATATTAAAGACAAGTTCGCTGTAAATATATTTTGTTTGTTTTTATTTATGTTAACTAACAATAAAACTAAATTAATTCTTAACATTATTTCAAACAGGGTTTCAATAAAGAAATCGAAGAAATACACAGAATTCAGATGTCTTTCGCTATTCCAGACTTAGAGCTGAGAGAATCTTTGAAACAAGAAAATAAAGATTATATTATTCCTAAATATAAATTATTTTTTGAAAAGTGAGTGCTTTTGACTAATTGTATGAAATGATGACAATTGTCTTATAATATGTTTAATTTATAGATACGTTAACATGAATTTTACAAAGAATATCGACAAATACATCAAATATACACCGGAAAGGGTTGCCTTAATAATCGATTCATTCTTTGATTCCGCGGCCTAACCCTTAAAACACATCATTATTTGTTTTAATTTAATATTTTGATATTTAATATTTTTTGGTTTTATGTATTAAATAATTGTGTTTTTACAGAAAAGGGGTTATTTTATATGAATTCAATGTAAAACAAATTAACAATAATTAGGGCTAAATATTAATACTGTATTAAAATTAATATATTTTATAATAAAAATATTTAATATTTAATATTTGTACCGGTCATTTGAAATTGTGTTTACTGTGTTTTACTCATCAAAAGGAAAGTAAAATTTGTATATTATTAATTTACAATTAAAGTTGATTTGTATTCAATATATTTGGAACATTTTATATGAAATACAGTATAATGAATGAGACAAACAAAAAACTTTTATCATAAAGAATAGTAAATTAAAATTAGACAAAAGTTAAATATTGTATAAAGTTATATTGTACTGTACAATATTTATACAGTAACCCTAATTGTACAATACATACTGTACCTTATATTGACAACTACTTAATACTATAATTTATAATATTACCTTTGTATTAATAATATTAAATATAATAATATTAGTAATAATAATAATAATAATAATTTCAGTGAAATTTTCATTTGAACATTTCATTTAGAATAAATTTTCACAAAAATCTGAAATCTTCACATGTTTTTAAACTAAATACTTTTAATGTGGTGAAATATATAAACATCAAATTTATTAAAACATTTTCCATTTAAAATAATTACAAAAATTATTTTGGTTCTTTAAATGTTTCAAATTTATTAAGGATTTTTGCAAATTCTGTTATATATTCTGTGATTATTTTACTTAAAGTTGTGTGAATTCTAAAATTCTATACAAAATAATAATGAATTTATAACAAATTAAGTATAAATACGTCAGACGTGATTAATTTTGAAGCCTTTATAACCCTCGAGACTAATGAGATGTTATTCCCGATAATTTTAGTAACTAAATTTAATCGGGAATTCCCAAAAAATAGAGACTTTACACATCACTATGTCTGCCACTCATCTTACACTAGTGTTCCAGAAGCTCCCGGAATGGCAGGAGTCTCCAGGAATTGAAGTGTAGCTCTTGATTCTCTGCGGGGGCCTCGCCTTGATATGGGAGCTCAAAGAATTTAGAACGCAATTAAGGCAGCATATTGATGTAAAATATCAATGAAAATAATCTTGATGATATTTAAATAGGTATCAAATTAGCAGATTGTTAATGTTTATTAACCCGAAAATATTAACTCCGTAATCTGGTTTAAAAATATGAATAAGTGTTCTAAAAGTTATGAACTTGTAATGCAATATAAATTACAATTTATATACTGTAATAGTTTAAATTATTATTTCTGCTTTAAAAACGTATCAAGAAAGAACTCAAGGAATTTTTAATAAAATCTTAAGGAAAATATTACTTAAAAGTACATTTTTCAAGGAAATTGACATATTGTTCTGGGAACACTAGCTGACACGCGCTTAAATATTGCTCATGTAATACATATGTATGATATCCAAAATGATGTATGAAAAAGTATGAAAGATAAAATCTAGATTCTAGACTTATATTAAAACACTAGACATCGTGTAATTGAGTGCCTGTGACTGGAATTAAAAATACGGTCGAAGACAATGTGATGTAAATCACAGAATTGCTAATATCTCGAGAACCGCTAAATTCATTGACACGTTGTTTCATTGATACATTGAAATGTTTTTTACATGGAGAACAAAAACTAACTTGCTATGGTTTATTTTTGACTATATTTATTGGAACATCGAACATGTACAAAAATGAAATAAATGACAGTAGTCTTTTGTAAATTATATGCGAGCAGAATATTACAAGTTTAGAGAATGGTTAACACTGATTGGGGAGGAAATTATTTATGGGAACAACATATTCATAGATTTAGTATCTATTTTAAGTTATTGTCAATTATATCGATATTAACAATAAATATACTCTTATTTTTGTAAATTTTTTAACAACACATGAATAATTAATTAAAAATGTTTACCATAAAAGAACTTTGTAATGTTGTTTTAGTGAAGAATATGAATAAGTAAAGTTTATATACTGTACAAAACATGGTTTTTATATTTTGCATAGATTTGAAATTGTTATAACTTTTTTATTTGTAAACACAGACTATTGTTTTATATATCAAACTAAACAGTGTTTATCTGACTTTAAAATACATATCAATGTTA